TCTCCCCATGTCACCGGCATCACTGTGGGATCACTGCATACCTGCAGAAGGTGGATTACTTCTGAGCAGGGATGGAGCCACTGCACAAAGTCTCCACCGGGGACATAAGGAAAGGGCATTCTTTGGCCTGTCCGTATCACGGTCTCTTTGGGGGACAGGGTTGTTTTGTTTTTATTTTGCAGATTAAGCGCTCGTGTGTACTCAGTGTCCAACAGAGTCTTTGGAAATCGTAACGAACCATCTCTGTCACTGGGCTACCTTTTTCCTCTGCAGGTATCTATCTCCAACAAACTAAACAGCTTCATCAGAGAGAGAATGGAAGATTTGTATTCACTTACCGTGAAGCTTCCTTCTCGGTGGTCCAGAGTGGAGCAGTCCTAGGAGTAGAGATGTAAAATTTTCCGGAAATTTTGAAGCTCGGAAAAAAAACCCGGGTTTTTTCCGGGGGAAAACGGAAATTTTCGGAAAAATTGAAAAAAATGCTACATTAGCATTTCATTGGTCTTTTCTAGATTGAAAGTCATTCTGTTACTTTAGGAACATAAAATATGACTATGGACATTTTTACTTGGCATGAAATTATCACAACTAGCATATTAAAAATATAGTGTATCCAAACAATTATTACAAACAGAATACCCACCCACATGCAAAAACAAAACTGAAACCTTTTTATTTTCTTCTGACAATAGCACCTCCTAAAGGAAGAAATGCATCTTGTTCTTGCATTGGAGAGTTCAGTTTGTAACCTACAGCTTGCTTGTCCTCAGTGCACAGAAATTAGATCAATCTGATACCATACATATTTTTTAGAAATGATTTGGAAAATATTTGAACACCTTGTCTTAAAATATTTTATTCATCACGTTAAAATAAAACGTTCCATAATAAATTTTTAAAATTTTATTTTCTTTTTCCATAATCTTTTGCGCACCCTTTTGCAGAAAGAAGTAATTGGAGAAATTGCACAGCATGGCAAAGGGAACTTTCTCCGGTGGTCCAGGAGTGGGGCAGTCCTAGGAGTAAGGAGTCAAGGACTGCCCCACTGTGGACCACCGAGAAGGAAGCTTCACGGTAAGTGAATACAAATCTTCCATTCTGTGCACTGATATCAAATTCAGGAAATCAAAGCAGTACACTGGCTGCGATTCAGCGTTACTGAATCTCATTTTATTCTGGGCCACATAGAATGGAGGCTGGTTAAGGTTTTACCCCGCTCGTTTCCCCTCAGCATTGTAAAATACGTATCATAATAATGTTTCCATCCCTTTACATCCCACCAGTATTCCTTCTAAGCTGAGTTAGTGTGAGCTAGCTCACGGCCTTTTAGCCTCCAGCTTACACATTTTTGTCTTAGCTCTAGAAGGATGGCTCCAGAGCAAACTAATGTATGCAGCAGCTAAATCACTCGCTCACAGCTTTAATGCCAGTAGTTCACAAAGTAAAATTTTTGCTCACAAGACTCCACAACTTAGAGGGAGCATTGCATCCCACTTATAAAAAGATGCTTCTTTGGTTACGTGTCTGGAGAAGGGTGTTCATTTGATCTTTTTTCATCCACTTCTGAAGATAAATTTGACCAGACAGCTTTATTTAGAAGGCATATAGGGATGGGCACAAACCACATTTTTGTGGTTCGGTTCATGGGCTAAATCACAAACCCATAAGCATAATGAAAGTATGGGAAAACATACATAAGCATTTTTATATAAAAATCTCAAAATTGACTGTTCCACTAGAAGCCATCACTCTCCCAAATGCATACTAGGAAGAATTACCAAGAAGGTATTTGGATATATTGGACTC